GGTTAAATCTGAGGTTCTGAAGGAAGGATCCTTCACGATCGATCGCCTGGACGTTACTGAAGTGAATTGGAATGCGTACCAGAATGAATTTGACCTGTCTGATGCATTCAAGGATGGTGGCTACAATGTTGCAAAGTGCATGAGGGCTGTGGCTGAGCCACTGCTTGCCAGCCACTTTGGTGAAGCGATCATCGATGAGGTGTTCCTGAGGTACAGAGATATCGTTGCTGATCGCATGTCCAAGGAGAAGACTGAGTTTGTCAATGTGATTATTTCCCTTATAAAAGGATAATCATCTGAATTTCTTTATATCAATCATCCGTGGCTGCCTGAAAAACCCTTGTTCTGATGATAAAATGATGGCCTATATTGTAATTCAAGGTTAAACTATTTCTTTGATCTTCTAGTTGTATCAGGGTAAAACTATTTCCTTGATCTCTTAGATGTTTCAGGGTAAAAGTATTCCTTGTATTGTATTCGTGGCATCTTTATTTATGAATTCATAAATAATAAATATCAATCCTTAATTTCCAGGGGGCCAATTCCTACTTCCGTATTAATTTTGTTAGTCTATGATCAAGCCCCCGGTAATAATCGCTGAGAAAGATCAGTTTGAGGACCGTAGCACAATTTTCATATCAGCTGCCCTTGATACTGCTATAAATCATTGATTTCATGAAAAAGTCTGTCATTATATATGCCAGTTGGTACATATAGTCTCTTCTATTTAAATCCTGACAACTAATCATGTTTTTAAGCATAACAACTTGCTTATTAATTTTTGGTTGAAAACGATGGGAACAATGCTAGCTACATTAATACCCCAATTACTAAATAGAAGTCTGTTCGTGGGGGTGTAGTCTATAATAAGTTGTGGTACAAATTATATTTCTACCTAAATTAACATGTATTGGTAGTGGTTGGTTCTCTATGATCTATAGACTTGTAGTTATCAATTCATGAGAAACCATAAATTTTTTTGAGAAAACCAAAATCTTTTCGTAGACCTCAGGTACCAATACAAGAAAGCTCCTAGCTAAAAGAGAAGAAGGTGAACAACAGCGCTTGATCAACAGGTTCAACAGAGCTAACTCAATTATATAACATAGATGATGGAGTTTTAACTAAAACATGTGAAGTTTGCTGTCTACTTCTTTGTCATTGAATCGACGATAGTAACCAAATTGAAATCGTTGGAAGCCAGATGCTCTGCCTCGTGTTGCTAACCTTGCGAATAACCTATCAATTATAGCATCTCCGAAATGACTGGCTAGCAACTGTTCTGAAATAGCTCTTACACAATTTGCAAGCTCTTGCTCCGTTTCATACTTGTCCAACACAAGATCATTGTCGCTAACGTCGTCTTCAAAATCCAAATCATGGCCCCTGCATTATTGAGAGATCTGACCAAGCATGGGTCTTAAACATGTAATTTATCTGGTTCCGATTAATTCTTAATCTCCTCCACAACTCCTTTTTCTTTTAATGGCTTCTCCTTCACAATTTTGGAACAATATGCGTTGTCCAACACAAAATCCTTTTTATTTCTAAAATTTGTTTGACTGTATCTTCTAGGATTCTCTTTGTCTTCAAGAACACTTTTTTCTCAAAGAATTATAGCCAACCAAGGGGGAAAAAATACAACAAATCAAGTCTAAAGCAGGTAAAAGAAAAATGAAGACATTAGAAACGAATAATGTTCTAAATGTTAAAGAAAGGAGGAGACTTGTAAGCTAGAATTATTGGCACAGCTGATTTCTTTATCTCCCTTATTCATGCAAACAGCACTTGCTACAGCGATTGCTTCGCCAACATCCATTACGCAGCGCTCCCAATGGAATCTCCTGGCTCTTCGCGTATTTAAAGAATTGAAACTTATTATTGGCACGCAGTAGAGAACAATACATCAGAAATCAAGGACTTTTACAGGTTTGCTAGATATTTTTGTGCCCGTATACGTGTCTGGAAGCAAGAACAAGGGAGAAACTCTATCCTTGGAACATCTCTATTTTTGTGGTGGATTCGTATGCAACTTATGCAGAAATGATGTTGCAAGCATGCCAGTTATTGTAATACTACATCATTTCTCTGGGATAATTTAACTGATTTCACCCGTTTGATTGATATTAAGCTGCACCTGGGAGTACAGAGGAATCTCTGCATTTCACCAAAGATGATGGGGGTAGGGTCGACCGATGAATGATTCATCTACCCCACAACCATGTTTATCATGTTTGCTAAATGAAATTGACGTCAGAGAATTGAGAAGGGCAGAGCGAGGACAAGATTTCAATAGGTGTGAACTCATGACGGAGGGTAGTATATTTATGGTTCACCTGTTTGATTAGGAACACCCTTTTGGTCTTTGGCGATATCTACGTTTGTCTTTTTCTCTATCTGATAGAGTTTGTCTAGATGTCCTTTTTTGTTGTAGGGCCTTTGTCCAGAACGCACTTTTGTTTTCGGAGCTATTCCCGCCGAGGCTGCTGTCACAAGCAGCTGCGACTCTTATAATTTTTCAGAATAGGTTTTTTTTAAAATTTGCTTCCATATTAAAAAGAGTCTCTTACTTTAAAGTTTAAGACTCTTCATGACATCTTAGTTTTTATCATTAATAAAATTTCTTTTTTTTTAAAAAAAAAGTCTATTATGGACTATGGAGGGCTGTGTTTTCTAAATTTATTTATTTATTATATATATTTTAATTACTTTCTTAAAATAATTTTTTATTTAATAAATATTTTTATTCTTCCAACTTGATGAAATTGGAGTCATGAAAACAAAATTTAAGTAATTAAGTTTATAAATCACGATTTATATTGTCAATTCAAAAAATATATTTATTAAATAATAAAAAATTTATTTTTTAAAATATAAAAAATTATTTTTTTATTAATATACACAAAGGGTGAAAATTAAATTAAATATAATTTTTTTTAACGGTTAAATGTCTTTTTTTATTTAACTCTCTAAAAATGCTCTAGATTTGCCATGGGCGTGATAAGCCGGAGGGACGAGGGCTAGTAGGTGGCCCCAGGCCCCAAAATTGAAAAATTTATAATTTTGTTTTTATTTTATTTTAAAATTTTATAATTTTACTCTTATTTTGTAAAACATTTTATAATTTCATTCCTTCAAATATTAAATTTTTTATGTATACCTCTCAAAGTTTTAAAATTTTATGATTTCATCTTTATTTTGTTTTAAAATTTTACTTTTATTTTTCAAAAAAATTTATAATTTCAGTCCTCCAATTATTAAATTTTTTATTTTTACCTCTCAAAGTTTTAAAAATTTATAATTTCATCTTTATTTTATTTTAAAATTTTACTTTTATTTTTTAAAAAATTTATAATTTCACTCCTCCAAATATTAAATTTTTTATTTTCATCCGTCAAACTTGAAATCTTGACCTGACTCCACCAATGGGGGTGGTATGTATTTTTTTGATAGAGGAATTGGGATGAAAAACCCATTGTAAACTTGATGATGAACATCTTAATGTCCAATCATGCGTACCAAGGAAGGTGATCATTTGAATCAACTTTTACCTCTGTTTTGTACAAATTCCTCTTTTTTTCTTTTAAGGTGAACTATAATTTTGTAAAATTTTTCAACATAAAAAAATATGAAATAAATGAGACTAGACAGAGAAAGAAACAAGGTGAGAGACACAAGCCGCAGTGGGTGAGACCAGAGAGAGAAGAAGGGAGAAACCCAATGGGCCATGATGTTGGATTGCGGAATCGAAAAACCAAAATGGTCAAGGTAAAATCTCATTTATTGATCTAAACATGACGCAGCGGCTGACAGCAATGGAAGGGAGGACAATGGCAATCAGAGCAATGACACAATGACTGTTGTTGAATGACATGATGATAAAGAACCAAGTTCTGTTGTTACAAGAAACAGGGCTAACAGAGAGCTTCTGTTTCATAGTTCAGACTCATCCGACATTTTTCATTACTAGTCATTCAATATATACAATGAGTCATTAAAAGCATAAACAAGAGATTACACTTGTTAAAACTATCTAAACCAGCATTACATCAGATTAACAGTCTCACATGCAGAATGGCACGTAGTTGATACAAGGTCTGCATGTTAGATAGAAAAGTAGCCACACGTCAAAGGTCAACAAAAGCATAAAGTCAGCAAGCATTACACACAACAATGACGCCATTTACCGTCTGCCTTCTTTAATGCAATTCCCCATCTTCTCCCATCTGCATGCATATATATAAATATATAAATAAATGATTGTCAGGTACGAGTGATAAGATGAAATTAATTTCTATCAAATCATAATCGAGACAGTTCCAGTGCGAGTATTCAGTTTATCACTATTGCAAGGAATCTCTTTTTGCATTTGGAAATTGAGGGAGGGTGACGTAAAATACCTCTAAGTTCATCGTTTTCAGAGGAGATGACAAATATGGATTCAAAAACCCCAAGAAAGGAGAGGACAATGACAGCGCTTTACACAGTTTTTCTATTTTTGGTTGGATAAAGCTGGTAGCCTCGTAGCTAGCCACAGTCGACTGTTGCAACACGGATCTTTCCTTTAATTGGTGGAAATGGAAGATTTAATTCATCCAAAAAATGTTGAAAAGGAATAAAATGTTAGTAATAAATAATCATGACCCATCGACCTGGTGACCTGAGGCAAATAACATCTATAAATAGGGCATGTAACATCTCATCGGGCACACAAATTTACCATCAATTATCCAGCTTGAGAGGCAGTAAAAGAGAGACAGAGATCAAGATGGAAGTGATTCAAGTGCTTCACATGAAAGGAGGAGTTGGAGAAACCAGTTATGCAAACTCTCCAGATATATTTACCAGCTTAAATCACAATATCAGTTTGTTAATATCAGTATACCCAAATATCTTTTGATCTTCACAATATAGATAGGCAGGTTTGTTGACATATTCATTTTTGGGAAAAAATATCATATTTGTCAAAAACTTTTCTAAGATATTTTGGCTTGAACTTTGGACAGCAAAAGGTGCTACCCATGACGAAGCCAATCACAGAGGAATCCATGACCGAGCTCTATTGCAGCACCTACCCTGCAGGCATAGCCATCGCAGACTTGGGTTGTTCTTCACGACCAAACGCCTTCTTTGTGGTATCTGAATTTATCAAACTGGTGGACAGTATTCGCCAAAAGCTAGGCCAAAAATCACCCGAGTATCAAGTGTTTTTGAATGACTTTCCAGGTAATGACTTCAACACGATTTTCAGGTCCTTACCCAGCTTCCAGAACAAACTGAAGAAACAACTTGGAGATGGCAGCAGGCCATGTTTTTTCACCGGTGTCCCTGGTTCTTTCTATGACAGGCTTTTCAGAAACAATAGTCTGCATTTCGTACACTCTTCCTATAGTCTTCACTGGCTCTCTCATGTTTAGTATCAGCAAATTTCTGAAATTATTAATGAAAAATATAGTAGCAGCAATTATATATAAGAATGAAGTTTGTAATTTATGAGTGAACTATTATATTCCATTCAGGTTCCTGGAGGGCTGGAAAGTAAAAAAGGCAACATTTACATGGCTAGCACAAGCCCGCCAGATGTGCTTAAGGAATATTATGAGCAATTCCAGCAAGATTTTTTTGTTGTTTTTAAAGTGTAGATCGGAGGAACTGGTGGATGGAGGGCGTATGGTTTTGACACTTTTAGGGAGAAGAAGCGATGATCCTTCAAGCAAAGAGTGTTGTTACATTTGGGAGCTCTTGGCCATGGCTCTCAACGATATGGTCTTTGAGGTACAGAGTTACATGGACATAAACCCTACTCAAGTAGGAAGCGTCCTATTCCTTTATATATAACTGAAAAACTAAATGAAAAGGGTAAAATATCTCAATTTTTAAATTTTAATAGAAATTTTAAATATATTTAATAATTTTAAAAATAGACATTTCGTTTTAAAAAAATATTAAAGGTGTTAGACAATTGTTAATATTTCTGTTAGTTTGATGACGTGATAATATTAAAAAAAATTATTTTTTTTATTTTAAAAATTATTATTATATAATTAAAAAAAAAAAAAGAAAACCAGGGACTCATAGAAGAAGAGAAGTTGATCTCCTTCAACATACCTAAATACACGCCATCTCCAGCTGAGGTTAAATCTGAGGTTCTGAAGGAAAGATCCTTCACGGTCCATCGTTTGGAGGTTAATTATTGAAGTTAATTGGAATGCATGTCAGAATGAACCTGAGCTGTCTGATGCATTCAAGGATGGTGGCTACAGTGTTGCAAAGTGCATGAGGGCTGTGGCTGAGCCATTACTTGCCAGCCACTTTGGTGAAGCAATCATTGATGAGGTGTTCCGGAGGTACAGAGATATCGTTGCTGATCGCATGTCCAAGGAGAAGCCTGAGTTTGTCAACGTGACTATTTCCCTTATAAAAGGATAATCATCTAAATTTCTTTAGATCAATTATCGGTGGCTTCCCTGAAAAACCCTTGTTCTGATGATAAAGTGGTGGGCTATATATGTTACGCAGTTGTGATTAAAGGTTAAACTATTTCTTTGATGTTTTAGATGTTTCAGGGTAAGACCATTTCTTGTATTGTACTCTTATGCATCTTTATGCACGAATAAACAGATAACAAATATCTATCTTTAATTTCCAGGAGGCTAATTTCTATTTCCCTTTTAATTTTATTTTGGTTGTCAATGATCAAACCCCCGAATTGAAATTCAGGGATCACATCTAGGCTTAGTTCATGGGGAATTGGAATTCAGAAGATTCCAGCAGGGATCACATCTCTTGCACTCGCAAATTTTCCAAGTCTATATGGAAAAGCATTTTGCAACTTTCTCTCCTTCGAAAGGAACCTGGGGACTGGTGTTAAAACATTGAAGATATTCAATAACTTTTTCAGAGAAAATATGAATCAGTTGAAAGAGCAAAATATAATCGAATAGCTTCATATTTTCATATTCTCGATTTCAGCATTTTAAGCTTGAATACAGAAGAGAGAGCAAAACGCATTTCTGCCAAAGACGAAGGCAGCCAATGAAAAAAAGAGGGAACAAGGTGACACGGAGCACAACAACAGCTGGCACCTAGTACCTGACAGCCATTTGTGTAACAACATGTGTTCACTACGCTGTGCATAAAACAAATGGAAATAACAGAAACATGAAAGCTGCATTAGAATAGCAAAACGGTGTCGGATAAGATGCTCTTAAATGAGTCACGTGAAGCAGCAGCGCGTGATTTCCTTATCTACCTTTTATACGAGCATTTGGCGCGAACCTCTCCACTATTGTTCCAGCGCTTGAACGCCCATAGGCAGAACTCAAATTTCAACGACGGGTCAACAGAATTCACTTGAGCTGCTTCAAACCTTCAAGGCGAATCACTTTTATCCTCTCTCTTTTGTTTAACTTGGTCTGCTTACATTTTTCATATCGGGAGAGCTAGGAATTCTTGCAGGACGTTCTAGCAGAACCCCTTCTCATGATTCTGTGCTCAATCACCTTGTGGATGATGTTCAGTTAAAGATCAAAAGTTTGCCTGCTGTTGCTGATAAGCCACATAACCAGAGATTATTTGAAATCTGGGGTCTCACTTTTCAGTGTTAATTCCCTGTGTTGTATTTGCTTGAACGCTGATACTGTTTTCTCCTTGTAATTTTTTTTTCCTTAACCAAAAACAAGATTTTTTTATATATATGTCACTGAATAATACACTGATGGGGCGTAGCTTTAAGCTGCTCGTTAAGTCTTTGCACCTGAAATGGCCGCTTGGCAATTTAGACGTTTGCCAATACATACATAAATAAATAAAAGCATAACAAATACAACCATGATGCATCTTTCAAAGCTGTTCGAGAGATGAAGACTTGTTTTCTGGCAATCAAGCAGAAGAATAATATTCTTCAACAAGTCCATAACATTGAAGCAGAACCATATCACGAGCAGTAGTTATCCAATGAATGCTGTGACATGGAAATTTTGCATACTCCAACCAACCGTGCAAGTTCTGGTGCAGAAGAAGTGTAATATTTCTGGTACTAACAATCACAGGGATCAAAATAATAAAGATCTGCCAAGCAACCTGAGACATGACTGTCATGATTCCAAGGAGCAGGATAACTGAAAAGGGGCATGCACCAACTAGGTAGTACTAGTAGCTATGGAATGTTCAAATCCATTGCCCTTTGATTCGTAAGAGCAGATCAGATCATCATATTGCACTTTAACACAAGCTGGAAGAACGTTACAGAACAAGTCTTTGATAGTATCTTCTAGGATTCTCCTTGTCTTCAAAATCAATCTTTTCTGAAAAAATTATAGCCAATGAACAGGGAAGAAAAAAGAACAAATCAAGTCTGAAGCAGGCAAAAGAAAAATGAAGGCATTAGAAAAGAAAAAAGTAGTGTTTGTTAAAGAAAGGAAGAGACCTGTACGATAGAATTATTGGCATAGCTGATTTCTTTATCTCCCTCACTCGTACAAAAACATTTGCTATCGCAATTGCCTTCCCAACTTCCTTTATGCAGTGCTCCGAATGGAATCCCCTAGCTCTTCTCGTTTTTAAAGAATTGAATACATCAGAAATCAAGGACTTTTACAGTCTTACTAGATATTTATTTTGGTGCCTGTATCTGTATCTGGAAGCAAGAAAAAAAAAGGTAGAAATCCCAATCCTTGGAACATCTCTATTTTTTGTGATGAATTTATATTCAACTTATGCAGAAAAACCATGTTATAAGCATGCCAGACATTATAAAACTTAATCATTTGTCAACATAATTTATCACTGAAGTATTAGGATTTTTTTTTTGACACATCAACAGCGGATTAATTTGGACGGAATTAATCGAAGAGACTCAATTGCACATAATGTAAAAGTAAATGGATTAAATTGACCAGTTTTTGAATAAAGGGACGAAGTTGATTAAAATGCTATAGTACAAATACTTCCTTAGTAGTTTGACCGTTATCACTACAAGAAAGCTCCAAGTTACAAGAGAAGAGAGCCTAACACTAGTCCATATGATGTTAGAACACAGAGTTGTATATCAAATATATTCAGGAAATGATTCAAGATGTGTATCAATTCATTGTCTTAAAGGTTTGATTTGCTACTATCATAAATGTGTAAAAAAATTAAAAACGATAAATTTCAAAAATATAATAAAATTTATTTGATGATTGTGTTTTGTACTAATAAAATCAGTTGACTAAACAATCACCGATATATATAGCAAGATTATTAAATTCTTATAAACTTTTTCTACAACAAAATGATTTAAGTAATTTGAAAAATATAAAAAATAAGGAGTATATTTTCTTCAATAGAAGAGTCTCTATTTAAAAGAATTACTTTTATGTTTCTATAGACATATTTATTGACTGAAATAATTATTATTTAATTAACTGCAAATCCAAATGCATGTGTCACATGCTTTCATTGAATAATTATATTGTAACTTTAACTAAATTACAAGACCAATCAAATTTGTTTAAAAAAAAGGAAAGAGCAAAAACAAGCAAGGGGGGAAGGAAGGAAAAAAGAAAAAGAAAGAAAAATGAAGGAAAAACTAATTTTTTTATTTTTTTATTTTTAGTGTTTATGATGGATGCGTTTGCAAGATTGGAAGAATATAGGAAAAGAAAGGAGAAACTGATGAAATTATTTCTATATATTTTCCTGCACAGAAAAGGCTCTATTTAAAAAAATAAATAAATGTCTTGTTTGTACAGATATATTGGCCATTAAAAAATATATATAATTATTACTTAATTAACTGCAACTACTGGTGCATGTGTCACACGCTTTTAATGAATAATAATGTATATTAATAATTATATTATAGATTTAATAAAATTAAATTACAAAATCAATCAATATTTAAAAAGTCTAATCATGCTTCGATTTGCACTTTAACACACTTAGTGCAACTACCAAAGACTAATAATTTATATCTTTTATTTTTTTTAATTTAAAATTGTGTCCCCGCGTGTGCTATTGTCGAAAACGTAGGGACACTCTGCAAAGCTAACTCAATTATTATATAAGGGAGACATTAGGCTTTTAACTAAAAACGTATGCAGCTTTCTGGCTACTTCTTTGTCATTGAAACGACAACAGTAACCACCTTTCCAAGGTTGGAAGCCAGGTGCTCCGCCTCATGTATCGCTAACCTTGTGAATAACCTATCAATTACGGCATCTCCAAAGTGACTGGCAAGCAACTGTTCTGAAATAGCTCTTACATAATTCGCAATCTTCTGCCCTCGTTCGTACTTGTTCAACACAAGACCATTGCTGTGGACGTCTTCTCCATCATCCCAATCAACTTCAAAAACTTGTAGCCTGTCAACTTCAAAGGATCCTTCATCTTGAACAATCTCACTTACTTCTTCCTTGTAGGGTGTGTAAAGAGGAATGTTGAATGAATCCAAATCAGCCTCTTTCACAAGTCCCTACAGTGAAAAACGATTAAAAATCCATTTTGGTGAAACATAGTGACATACGGAAAGAAAATAAGTATGTATTGGAAAGAAAATAACCTCTGCCACCAAGTCACAGAGTGTTTTTGCTAGCAATTCCCAACCATAAAAATCGGTCGAGGGATCTGGGTTGCTCCTACCGATGAAAGTGAGAATCATACGCCCGCGAGGTTTTATTTCTTCTGACCGCATGCTTAAAAACGATGAGAAGTCCTCCTTAAATTGCTTCGCATAAGCTTTAAATACATTGGGAGGACTTGATTTTGCCATGTACACATTCCACTTGTTGTTCTCAATTCCGTCTGGGACCTGACCAGTCATCCGGATATGATTAGCTAATTATTAGCCCAAATTAATACGAAAAGAAAGGGGAAAAAAGGAGTTTTCCAAATCCTTTATTCAGTGAAAGGTGCCAACCTTTGATAGCCAATGAACACTATAAGAAGAATGTATAAGATGTAGACTTCTGCTTGGGAAAAGTCTTCCATAGAAGGAACCTGGTACTCCTGATATTGAACAATGCCCTATGAGATCGCCCTTCTCTCTCTTAAGCTTCTCAAAGAAAGCAGGAACAGACCTGGAGACATATTTGGAAATCAGACTTGGGTGATTTCAAATGCGAATGTTGGCATGCACGTAGAGTAAAAAGAGAAATTCCATTGATAGCGACATTTATTTACCAATTGTTCTATCGAAAATTTGCGATCCCAATCTTTTCTCTTTTTTTTTTTTGAAAAGTGTGGATTTATTCTACCATTACCAATATATATGCCATACCAAGTCTTTTACCTATTTGGGTAAGACTTCGTTTGGCATGAAGGAATTGGCATGGGAAAAAGCTGTACAATTACTAAAGCTCAAGGCTGCTCAAGCAGAGATGGCAGCGAGCAGGATTCCAAAAAAACTTAATCCTGCGTCAGGACAAGTAAGAGAGAACATAAACAAGATTTAAACGTAACGACTTTGCGAAAAGGAGGTAGAGGTCTAAACAAAGCATGGCGGGAGAGGACCCAAAATGGCCATCCGCATGAGACGGGACAAATCAAGAAGAGGCAAAGGGAACGTCCGTTCGCCGAAGTCAGAGACCAATCCATCAAAAGAAGCGAGAAGCCAAGCGAAACACAAAACAGGGAAGAAGAAGAAGACCCCCAAATAGGAGGTCTAATTATGTACGGCCAGGGTTTTCTTGTATGATCCAACCATTTATTTTCTTCTTTTTTTAATAATAAAAGAAGGGACTGACCTGAAAATGGCGTTGAAGTCATTTCCAGGAAGATCATTTAGAAACATTTGAAACTCAGGTGATTTGAGCTGTAATTGTTGGCACATCTCTTGAACACTGCCAATGACTTCAGAGATTGTTAAGAAGGTGTTTGGCCCTGATGAACAACCCAAATCTGCCACTTTAATACAAGTTGGAAGAACGTTGCAGAACAAGTCTTTGATAGTATCTACAAGAATTCTCCTTGTCTTCAAAATCACTGTTTTCTGAAAGAATATAGCCAATAAAGGAAAAAAAAATGGAACACATTGAGTCTAAAGCTGGTATAAGAAAAATGCAGGCATTAGAAATAGATAATGTACTATATTTTTAAAGAAAGGAAGAGACTTGTATCATAGAATTATTGGCATAGCTGATTTCTCTATCTCCCTCATTCATGCAAAAACCATTTGCTACAGCAGTTGCTTCCCCAACTTCCATTATGCAATGCTCTCAATGGAATCTCCTTTCTCTTCTCTTATTTAAAGTACTGAAATCTGTTACTGGCACCCAGTAGTGACAGATGCCACAATTACTGTCTAAATATACATCAGAAATCAAGGACTTTCACAGTTTTGCTTCCAGTCAAACGTCAACCTAAATAGTTTTGTGCCTGTATCCGAACCTGAAAGCAAGAAAAAACGGAATCTCTTGGACCTTCTCTAGTCTCTGGAAGTGTTTGGACGATTCGTATTCAGAAAAAACGTTGTGATCATGACAGATATTGAAATACTCCATCATTTGTCAATGAAGTAGGGTCGACTGATGAACGATTAATCTACCCTACAACCACGTTTATCTTGAAGGAGAGAATTACGAGGACAAGATATCAACAGCTGTGAACTGGATGATGAAAATTTAGAGGTCCGATCACGCGTACCATGGACGGTGATCATTTCAATCAATTTTTACTTCTGTTGTGGTACAAACTCCCCTTGTTTTAGGTGAAATAAATGGTCAATTTCATTAAGAAAAATATATTAGCAGAAGAAAATGGTAACAGGTTGAGGGTCTCGAGCCAAAACCGGCAAGTGACAACTTTCTATTTATGGCAAAATTTTACCCATGAGTTGATTTCCAACACCTGGCATTATCTCACATGTGGCCTGTTTCTTGGGATTGGAGAGGAACCGGATGAATCCTATCCTCATTTATTCACCACAGCAATGAAAGGGGCTATGGCAACATTTATGACTGAAGCTTGATCTTTCCATTCTTTTAACATCTCCCTTAATTCTTTAATGCAATTATCTATCTTCTCCCATATGGCAAAAATAAAAAAATTTGCAGCAGATAACTTCATATCTGATCCAAATAAGCTTCTTGATTGATGATAAAGAAAATAAACTCCACTCCAATGAATCGATTGAATCAAATCCAATCGAGTTTGGTTTAACTCGGTTAACAATTTTTTTTAATATTTTAATTTTTGATATTTGATGATAAGATTTGTCTTTCCAACCAATCGAGCAATTGAACTTAATTTTGAAATATTATTATATATTTTTATATACTAAGTATTCGATGTTGTTTATATATATTGAGATGGTTCAATTTTATAAATTACAAAATAATTTTAAAATTTGGATTCTTTTTTCTCAACCTATAAAATATTTGTATTAATCACTGAAAAATTATACATTGAGTTTAGCCTTTCCATATTGATTACACAAATAGTTACAATCATAGAACAAATACTACACTGAGTATTCTATAAATAACTGAGAACGCCAAGCAAGTCACAAATATCTTGAATGAAAAGAAATCTCAGAAGGGACATAAACAAGGACAACAGAAGAGCAGAACAGGGTAAAAAAACCATAAAATAGAGTTGATCAAGACCCAAAAAATTCGTGAAATAAAAATGAAATAAAATTGATGCTCTCCATTAGGCCAACTGAAGAAATCAGCACTCAGACAAGACAAGGGAAGATCATCATCCCTCATTTGTAGGTCCTTTCATGCCTTTTTCATCTTTGAACTGTATTGAAAAATTCAAATTAATCTTAATTCCTTTATTACTTTCAATTAAATTCTTGTATTTTTATAATTAATAGTTAATTAATTGTTACTAATCAAAATGTTACTTATTATTTTATATCAAGTGACGATAATATAGTATACTGATATGTCATAATGGATAATGATGTAGCATACTAATGTGATATAATAACATTTTCACCTTTCATATCAAACTCACATGAGTATAAAATAACAAGTAAAATTTTAAATAATATTAATTAGTCAAACGTTAGTCATAGAAGCTTATTTGATTCAAAATAAAAATACAAAAACTTGATTAAATGTAACAAAAGAATAAAAACTTATTGAAATTTTTTTAAATAGTTCAAGCGTTTTTTCAAATATTATCCCTAGATTCATTATACTGCACAATAGGTCCATTATTTTTACACATACCACATGATAAGTCAATTTACTTTACATGTAAGTGCTATAATGTGATAAATGCCATTTTTATTATTCTTAATTAATTTTAGCTTGAATTTCATTTTAAATTTTAATAATAATGTTGCCAAAAAAAAACAATTTGCACTATTTTCCTTGTTCTAAAAATAAGTACAAAATTCAACACTAATTACCTCTATATTGCTGGAAAACTTTTCACATAAATAAATCATGTACTCTATAAAAACAAAGAGTTTCTCTATATAAAAATATAAGAGAGAAAATAAAGATATGTGAAAAGTTTTCTAAAAGTACAAAGGTAATTTGTACTGATTTTTAGCACATGTGAGTTATGATTTTAGATTGTTGTTTGTACATGATTTTGTGCTGATTTTTTGCACACAAGAGTTGTAATTGTAGTGCTACTTTTCTTCGCCTCAGATGAGTAATATGCTTCTACAAATACATTGTACGCAGAGGTTGAGGGGAGGGGCTGCTAGTGGTTGCGCCCGCCACCCCCCACCCCACTTCCCTCCCAAAAAAAAAAATTAATTTTTACAATTTATCTGTAATTTTAAAAAATTTTATAATTTCACCCCTCAAATAAATTTTAAATTTTTATAACTTACCTTTGCTTTTTAGAAATTTTATAATTTCATCCCTATAAAAAGTTTAAAGTTTTTCTAACATAGTTTTTTTTTAATTTTATAATTTTTGTTTAGTGAAATATCTCACAATAATTAGTCAACAACTAATTTTAATATGATTAAAATAAAATCAATAGCATTTTTCAAAAAATAAGTTATAAAATCAATTGCAATAGAATTATTTTCAAACCTCATTTCTCCAAAACCTCACAACCACTACTTGCTCTCTTTTCATTTTACCAAATGCTGTAAAAACCAAAAAAAAAAAATCATTTTTTTACACCATGTTGCTTGTCTGTATTTTTTGTATAGAAAACTTTTAGTCAGTAATTCAATTTTCGTATAATGATAATTGGTAATATTGATTTATTTACTTATTTTATTTTTAATATTTTTCAACTTTAAATTTTTTTATTTAATTAATAATTTCTACTTGATAATTTTGATTTAGGATTTACTGTCTTAGTCATTTTTTGTTGAAACCAATTTGATTAGACACTTAAGGTTAGTTATTACTTATTTATTTAGGAATTATTTGATTGTTTTTCTACAAATTACTTGTGCCTTTTTCTTTGCTTAGATTCTTGTGAACAATTAAGTTTTTTATTGGAGAATTGCTTCCTCATTGAATTGTTCATTAATGTTGTATTTAATTTTTGTGATTAATTTTAGAAAATTGCTTCTTCATTGAATTGTTTATTAATAATTTTTAATATTTTTAAAGGAATTGCTTCCCATTGAGATTTTTGTTATTGTATTTGTTAATTTTTGTTTGTTGTTAAGTGTATCTAAAAATTGAAATTATTGTCATTATTAAATTATTTATGATGATACTAGTTAATTCTTTTAAGTAAATTATTAAGATTGATTCATTTGAATAATTTTTAAGATTTATTTGTATAATTTTCATATGAAATTTTTTTATCTAAATTTTTTTATATTATTTTCAAATATTGAATTCTATAAGAATATTTAATTTATAAATATTGTTTTCGATTTTTCGCTCCTCTAAACATAAAATCCTGGCTTCACCACTAATTGTACATAGCCAAGATTTTTCACATTCTTATTTCCTCTTTATCAAGATTGTGAAAGAGTGTTTAGACTTTTCAAAAACCAAATCAAGTAGGGTGTAACTTTATTATTGATATAGTGTTAATTTCAAATAATTTTCAATGAAAAAGCTTTCGACCTTAAAACAGAAAATATTAGATGAATCATTTTTCTAGGACAACTATGCTGCCATGGATGAGTTCAATAAAAAATCATGTCACGTGAAATTTGATTAAGTAAAAGAGAGAAAAAAGTTAAAGCCATAATGGGTTAAACATCATCTCGAATTTTTTTTTTCAATTTGAGATTCAAAAAATTGGAAACAGAATTAATAGGCATCTCTCATTATTCTAAATTTATTTTTCATTTTTCTAAAAATTTTTGACATTAATGTACATGAAAAAACACCAAAATTTTATGAAAAAATATTTAAATTTAATATAATATACACTAAGTTAATGTTTATTTTAAATTCTACGAAAGTCAAATAGAAAGATAATGAGATCGAAATGATATAAATATAATCATGATCTCTCACTTGAAAATGTAGTAAGATTTAACCACTAATAAGTTGTTTTATATTTGTTATTCAATATTATATTTAAGTAAACAAGTAATAAAACTCATAAATAAATAAAATGTCAAAGGCAATTAATAGGCATAAATGTGAATGTCTGAAACAAACATTCACTTCAACCTTTAAAAAGAAATAGTACTAACATAGAGGATTGAATCTCTATTAATTAATTGCAAAACGTAATTTTTGTATAGGAGTACCAACAACAATGATTAGGATATTCGTTAATTTTAATATGTTTATATTTGAATCCAGCTATAAAATTTAATATTAGTATTTTATTTGAATTTAATTAATAATATTTTATTAAAATCTAGTTAAGATCCGAATTCGTTTATTTTATTAAAAGTAATATGAGCATTTGTTGTAAAACCTGACTCAACTAATCCGAATTAAATCGAACAATGGTATTTTTTTGGGCTGTCGAGGCTTAATAAACTTATTTTTCACAAAATAATAATATTTTGAATTAAAAAATAAAAAATAAAATTTAATAACTTTTATCTATTTTATTAGTCAAAATTAAATAATTAAATTCAAAAATATGTATATATAGACAATTTATTAATTAAAACAAATAAGTCATCAATTATAAGTAATGCATACACCAAAGTCTAAAAATCAATGGATGGATGTATTATTTTTTGAATTTAATATGAGGAAGGCATGGAAAAACGTTGTACGTGTAACACGTGGCAAGATCATGTGGGAGGCATGGCTAAAATGGAGGAGAACAGCCGCATATCTTACAAGAACCAACGTAAAAATGTTCAGGTTCGGAGATTCAATTAGAAATCTAACTAGATCCTTACCTCCAATAATTACGCATTTAAAAAACGAAAAAGGCCAAAACCCTGTCCGCTGTCCACACATTTTCCACGTCAAAACTACAAAACTAGAAGCAAGAGAGAGAAAATGATTTTTTCTTCACTTCCCATTGATTTTCTGCCTTCCCCAACGGGTCTCGAAAAGATGCCCTCAATTTCAACTCTTTTCCATCCTCCACGTGGTTCTTCTCCTACGCTTTATAAGTCTTCGAACCCAGATTTTTTCTCTCAGTTCCGCATACGGAAACCCAGCTTTCTCGGAGGATTTTTGGCCGAGAAAACCGGGGTGTGGGACCTTTCGAGAACCATGATTAAAACTTCAGCGGCCAGGGACTCTAGGAATGGAGATGATGGCCTTCAAATGCTTAAGCAAGGAGCTTCCATCGAGGGGTCAGCGCGGCTTCGAGGGCTGGAGACAACCTTGAATCGTATGGTGAGTGTATTTGTATACGGGATACTGGGATACGTATTTGAGTGAAGTAAACGTATGTATTTTTTTTTCTATGTTTGCTGAAATGGGGTTTTGGTTTGTTGGGGGTGCTAGAGCAAGTGGTTGGTGGCGGCGACGTTAGGTGTGGTGCTTCTGTGGAGGCATGACGCGGAGGCAACATCGAGTTGTGAACGCGCTGCTGTCAGTTGGGCTGAAAAGGGTGCAGAATCAGGAGCGGCCTGTTGCTGGGCTTAAGTCTGACCCTGGGATGCCATCTTCTCATGCCCAATCCATCTTCTTCACTGTCGTTTTTACCATAGCTTGAAGTAAGCCCTTACATTCACTCCATGGAGAATCTTTTGATCTGTTCTACTCACTTTGCATTTTTCAATACGCAATTGAGTTTAAATTCTGGATTATTTGGTGTTTACAGTTTTGGAATGGCTGGGAGTTAATGAACTTTCAGTGAGCATCAGTGCTCTGGCTCTGGCATTTGGTTCATATTTTGTGAGTATACATCTCGAAAATTACCTTTAAACTTAGTTCTTGGTTTCTCATCGGTGGAATCTATGATTCTATCTCATTCACTGGTTTTTGTGTTGATTTGTGGTCTGCAGTCATGGCTTCGAGTGTCACAGCAGCTTCACACGATGAGTCAAATCCTTGTGGGTGCTATCATAGGGTCCATTTTCTCAGTTTTGTGGTACGTGTCATGGAAAGCTGTTGTTTCGGAAGCATTTCATTCCTCATTGTTGGTACGGGTAATTGTTCTTCTGAGTTCTGCGGGATTTTGCCTTGGCTTTCTTCTGTATGTGATTCAGTATTGGCTTAGGGAAGAAAGATGAACGATGTAAATAGATTTAGTTTTAGACAGATAAAGATTCCACAGATGATTACATGAACAAACAAGAATAATTGTCTCGTGTCTGCAGCTGAACGGAACTAATTATGTAAAAGTCCTTTGACTCCATCGTCTCAAGAGTTGCAGAAAATATTTGAGACAGATCCTCTGCGTTTTAGGCTTTAAAAAGGCAATTCAGTGCGCGTTGGTAACAGAACCAAATTAAGTCAAGTCATGGAAAAGAACACAATTACAGTATATTAACTTCTATAGACCAGAAGGAATCTGTTTGACACTTCAGTTACCACGTTCAAGTGTCACACATCATTATTTTCTCAGCAAAAAACCAGCTTGATGGGATACACAACAGCATCCCACGCTTATTAATCTCTCAAAATCTACCAGGACTTGAAATACTTTATCTACTTTTTCTAAAATATTTGACTTGAAATACTCTTATCTATTTTTTCTGAAACATTTGATGTGACAAAAGTACTTGATCTCATAGTGAATCCGACTGCTCCGCTCCTAGTTAAAAACTGAAAACTGTCACCACAAACTTTCTTGCTCAAGACTGGGAATAGGTCGGCAGAAAGCTGCTCTTAACCTTGTTGATCAACTCCTTGAATCTGCGAACCCCCCTCTCCTCTCTTCTGATTAGCTCCTGGCTGCTGCTGAATGCAGCTTTCAACAAGTAACAACATCAAGGGAAAGAGGCCAAAACCTATAATGGAAAAATGGAATTGAATCTTCACTTCATGCAAATCCTCTAGATCTAGAAGAGAAACCTAACTCCTGGACAGACATATCCACCCTTGAAGCTAGTAAATCCAACATGCCATATATTAATTTACCCTCTGGATAAGATCTTTCACCAGCAACAAATGCAGAAACCCGATCCTTAACCTTAATCCATGACCATCCTGGCTCCTTGTAACCCCCTTTGACCTCACCATTCTCCTAACATCTGCTGCTTCTCTCCACTTCCCTTTGGCAGCATATATGTTAGCCAGGGGCTATGAGTCCCTGCACAATTTGGATCCATTTCAAGAAGCTTTTCTGCAGTGCGTCTTCCACAGTCAACATCACCATGGACTCTACATGCTCTAAGAAGAACCATATCACGAACAGAAGTTATCAAATGAATGCTCGGACCTTCTCTAGTCTCTGAAATTGTTTGGAGGATTCGTATTCAACTTATGCCGAAAAAACGTGGTAACCATGCCAGATATTGTAATACTCCATCATTTGTCAATGAAGTAAGGTCGACTGATGAACGATTAATCTACCCTATTACCACATTTGTCAAATTCAATTGGGTTTGATTAACTCGTATACAGTTTTTTTTAATATTTTAATTTTCGATATTCCAACCAATCGAGTAATTGAACTTAATTTTGTAAAATTATTATATATTTTTATATATTAAGTATTAGATGTTATTTATATATATTGAGATGGTTCAATTTTATAAATTACAAAATAATTTTAAATTTTGAATTTTTTTCTCAACCTATAAAATGTTTGTATTAATCACTGAAAAATTATACATTTGAGTTTAGCTTTTCAGTATTGATTACACAAATGGTTACAATCACAGAACAAATACTACACTGAGTATTCTGTAAATAACTGAAAACGCCAAGCATGTCGCAAATATGTTGAGTGAAAAGAAACTTTAGAAGGGACACAAACAAGGACAACAGTAAAGCAGAACAGATACAAAAACCATAAAATAGAGCTGAACAAGACCCAAAAAATCCGTGAAATAAAATTGATGCTGTCCATCAGGCAAAATAAAGAAATCAGCACTCAGACAAGACAAGGGAAGATCATCATCTCCGAGAATTAATGAACCAACATTAGAAACAGACCACATCATCATAGGAAAAAAAAAAAAAGGAACAGCAGCAAAAGCTGGCAATAGCAGAGGAAACCAGGATGGTAATAGAGAATATCACAATAGTGAGGCAGCGATCGAACAAATCAAAGGTCATGTCTGGTTGCCACCAAACCGAGATCAGAGATTACCCACGAAACACGCAGAACAAGGGAACTCTATCTGATAGGTCAAAGGAAAAGCACAAGGAAATATGGAAGCAAATAAAGCGCAGCAAACTAGAAAGACTACCACAAGAAAAGGCCGAGCACGCAATTTACCACCAAATCCGAGAAAAAGGTTGTCAACACCATATTTTGTAAGTGCGCCAGCGAGAGAGTTACCTTCTCTTAAAACACGAAGAACGGAAACATTAGCCAGTGATAGGCATTTGTCCTATGGCTTTTGATTCACTTTCTCTACCCATGTAAGTGCAATCCTTGTATCAGATTCAATAGTCAAGGGGGATCCAACATAGGAGGAAGCCGAGAAAAGTCACAAGGCATAGAGAATGGCCATGAGTTCCTCATAATTAGAGTTTTGAATCCCAAGGGGATCAAAGAAAACTCTGGTCATAAAGCCATCCAAGTCGCGTAACACACCTCCACACCCTGCCAATTTGGTTTTTATGATAACAGATTGAACTAATTCAATTTTCAACCAATTCGGTTTTCTCTCAAAATTCAGTCGATTTGATCAATTTTTTTATAGAATTTCAATTTGCTCAGATTTTGATTTATACCCATCGAATCAACTGTTCGTACTGATTTAATAACAAAAATAATCAAACAAGTGATGTAAAATTATGAAAAAAAAAAATCAAAAGAGAAGGAAGATTTATTTTTATTATTCTTGGAAGATAATTCAGCATTTCCATTCAACCAAAGGATGGAGGCCACCTGCTACAATAAAGAGTAATTAATATGAAGTAGCTACTTCTTTTTCATTGAAACAACAATACTCGTCAACTTATAACCTGGATGCTCCGCCTCGTATTTGGCTAGCCCTCTGAATAACTTGTCAAGTATATCCTCTCCGAAATGCCTTGCAAGCATAGGTTCTGTAATGGCTCTAACAGAGTTTGCGGTCTTTTGCCCCCATTGGTACTTGTCCAACTCAAAATCTTCATTGGTTAAGACATCTCTAGGACCCCAGTTGATTTGAACAACTTCCAACTTGTCAAGATCAAAGGACCCCTCCTTTTGAATAATCTCACATAATTCACCTTTGTAGGGTGCATACAAAGGGATGTTGAATGAATCTGCATCAGCTTCTTTCACAATTCCCTACAAAATCATGTTGACAGATCATAATTTTTGCTTTATATGACTAGTCGTGGGGCTTATCAGAAAGCGAAAGTAAGGGAACTAACCTCCGCCACTAAGTCATAGAGGGATTTTGCTAGCTGCAGCTTCCAATCATCATCTTCTTTTGAGGGATATAGATTGCTCCTACCATTGAAGGTAAGCACCATGCGCCCTCCTGGAATCATCTCTTGGGACCGCAATTTTAGAAATGTTGAGAAGTCCTCCTTAAATTGCCTAGAGTAAGCTTTGAATACGTTGGGAGGGCTTGATTCAGCCATGTATACATATCCCTTATTATTCCCAATACCATCAGGTACCTGATTAAAGCAGAATCCAGGATCACATACTCGTAAGGATTAGATCAGAGAAATATTAGTTGAGTCCCTACTTCCACCTTAATTAATCATTGGTACTTATTAATTATTTATTAAAGAAGTCATGAATCCGAAATTGAGTAAATTTGGAATTTTTTAGAGATATAAATAAAACAATTAACATAATATTGGAATAAATTTTATCCCATCCTTTCACAAAAGGCTTATTATACTGCACAATACATCCATTATTCCTATACATATGTGACCTGATAAGTCAATTATCTTTATACATGAGTGTGCATACCATGATAGATATCATTTTTATTACTGTTAATTAATTATAGTTTGAATTTCATCTTAAAATTTCATAATAACATTGTAGAAAAAACAATTTGCACCATTTTAAAGATCAGATGTTTTCAAAAATAGCTTTTTTTTATAATTTTAACTACTTTTAATCAAGTTGAAAAAAATTACCCTAAATAAAATTGCACGTCATGATGTTACACACCATGTACAGAAACGTGTTACATGTCATGGTTAAATTATTACACACCATGTACAAAAACGTGTGACACGTTATGGTTAGGTTGTTACACGCCATGTACAAAAACATGTTACACGCCATGGTTAGATTGTTACACGTCATGTTAAAATAAAATAATGTTGTTACACTACATGTACAAAAACATATTACACGCCATGGTTAAAAAAGATTGTTACATGTCATCTTAAAAAAAATATTATTATTACACACCATATTAAAAAAATATTATTGTTACACACCATATTCAAAAATATTTTACTACACTTTAATACCTTAACTGTTGTTATTATTTACAAACCAAAATTTCAAATCCTCTCAACTCTTTTTAATTTTTTTTTGATAATTTGGGACCAATTGAAGTGTTTCTAATATATTTTTATAAATCAAAACACAAATTTTGTTATCTAAAATACCTATTTTGACTAAAAATAAAAAAAAATTCATTAAAAACCTAGGTTTATAAATTTTAAATTTTTGAGTTTATTAGTGTCTAGATCCATAATTGATTTAATTAAAAGGTATTTCAAACATTGTAATCATTTCTACTGTTTAGTTTTATCCAAACTACCTAAAAATTAAAATTTTCAAATAACCATCTACTTAAACACATCAAAACCATCGTTTGGTGTCTTCAAAATGCTAGAAAGAGAAATCTGAAAGCGCGGGAGAAAAAAATTAGGAGCATAATAGACGAATGTCGAAGAGAGAAATCGATAAAATTAAAGAGAGAAGGATATTGAGAGAGAAATTAAAAGCACAAATGGAGAAAAATTGTGATGAATGATTTAATTTATTTAAAATAGTTTTAAGGGTATTGTTATCAAATCATAATTAAATATGACTAAAAATAATTAAATTTATTTTGATGGTTATTTTTAAAATACCTTTATCAAAAAAAGTTATTCTTCACAATTTTCTCTATTTTTTAATATGATGGAATTGTATAGCTTATGAATTTCCAACAGATAGGAATAGGATAGTTTAGTAAAACATGAAAAGAGATGCAAACCTTTGATAACCAGTGAACACTATACGAAGAATGTACAAGGTGCAGACTCCGATTCGGAAAGAGCCTTCCATAAAAGGAACCTGGTACCCCTGTTACAAAACAAGGCCCGAACTTGTCTCCCTTCTCTTTCTTGATCCTGTCAGTGAAACTAGCAACAGATCTGAAGACGCTATTGAAATCATTTTCTGGAAGATCGTTTAGAAACGCTTGAATCTCAGGTGATGATTTCAATTGCGCTTGTTGACACATCTCGTGGAAGGCGTCAACAACTATGGATATCGCCATGAAAGTATTGGGTCCTGAGGAGCAACCCAAGTCTGCCACCTTGATGCAATCAGTCGAAGACACGTTGCTGAACATGTCTTTGATGGTATCTTCCAGGATCGGCCTTGCCTTCGATAGTACCATTTCCTGGAAAGAGTTTAACGAATCATCAATAAACAAAAAGAATGCAACTTGGGAAAGCTTGAAGGTTGACAATTCTATGCAAATTAGGGAGGGGGGAAGAGAGTACTTGTGGTAAAGACCAAGAGCCATAGCTAGTTTCTTTATCTCCTGAGTTCATGCAAGGAACACTTGCAGCAGCCATTTTTCTATTATTATTATTTTTGCTTCTCCAAGCACTTCCTTCAATGACTCAATAGTAGATTATATTGTTAGCAGAAATTCTTCGATAAGACTGTTCATTAATTGCTTCTTGGGACCAGACAATTGGAAAACCTTGGGAAACAGTTGGAACAAATTAATCTCAGGATATTATGTACTTTTCTTCGTCTAATTACTTTTCTCACCGGACATGGTCAATACATTGAACACAGTCGCTTCCTTTATGTCAGGATTGTGAAAGATTGTTTAGCCTTTCCCAAAATCAAACCAAGTATACTATAACTTTATTATTAATATAGTGTTAACTTTCAAATAATTAGCCAACCCTTAAATATCTACTATCATTAAAGGAATAATCGAGGGAGTATATGAATATTATCCAAGATTATTTTTTAATTATGTTTACACAAATAAGGTTTTGAAGTCAACGCTCAAGGCTTTCCTTTCACTAGTACTGAAGTAAACAGTAGACAAAGACTCCAGACTTTTGGATCATACGCCGCCGCCTATGCAGAAGTCAAATGAGTAGTTGGATACCTTACTAAGGTATGAAGAATGGTGGCGGCGGGCGGCCCAAAATTCTATACCAGTAAAAGTTTCCAAGTCAGTCATGACATAAAAGCCAATGTCTCAAATAAACATCCACTTCAACCTCAGAAAAGAAAAAGCATTAAAACAGAAGAATGAATTTAATTATAAACTTTAATACTTATTCATGACAGCAATGAAAGGGGCAAATGGCAATGGCAACATTGATTTCATTTTTTTGAAAAGTGGATTTTATTAGTCATACATCGGTATGCCATTGTTAATTTCGAGCTGAAGTTGCCAAATACTCCCATTAACATCAACGCTGGCTTGACAAGAGTAGTTGTACATTTGAAGGGCACATCTGCTCACATGGATTAGCAGAAGACCCACAGCATTCATCCGCCAAGAACTCAAAGTTGCCTTAAAACAAAAAAACCGACTGCCTGAAACAGAAAGCAATCAGCCTAAGACTTCTCCTAAGGCTAATTGTTTAAAACAAACAAGAACCAATGATAACAGCATCGAGACAAGGGTGTTCCAAACAAAAACAGGGAACTCTAATATCTTTAAATCCTTTGGTGTTGAACCTACTTTCCAAACATTGTTGATATAGGACTTCCATTGAAAACCATGTCAGCTCATGTTATTAACCTTAGGACTATGTGTGACTAATTTTGTTTTAGGACAGTTAGCTTAATGTCAAATTATGATAACCATGCACGTAGTGAATAACTTATGTGATGATTAGCATGTAACTTGCACCTGACTATTGTTCAAAGTTTGCTTGTTAAATCTTTACTATGTATATTTTTTAAGTCAATGCACATCAGATCAACAAACTATTGCTTAGAACAAATATTTCCTCTTATTCTGTTCTTCATGCTTAGCTACTTATTCTCAACTATGCTGTGTTAACAAACACTTGTGACTAAAGTTTATCTTTCCATTCTTTAACATCTCCCTTCTTTAATGCAACTTTCTATCTTCTCCCATATGGGGAAAAAATGCTGCAGATAATTTGATATTTGGTCCGAATAAGCTTCTTGATTGATGACCAACAATTCAATCGGTTGACATGTCACACTTTAATTGAGTGAGAGTTGTCTTGGAAGAGTCTTTTTTGATAGGCATGACATTTTGGTCATCTTTCCCTTTCTTAGGTTTCTCCACCGTTTCTATTTTTGCTCTATACATTCTAATTTTTTACTTCTCTCCTGGGTTTCTCCGCCTTCTTTCTTCTTTTACTTTCTCCATTTTTTGCATCTTCTTGTCCAAGTTTTACAGCTCTTTTCATTTTTTAGTTTTTTCTTTGGCTTTCTTTGTTTGTTTAGGGTGTTTTTTTCTTTGTTTTGTTCAACCAATGTTCTTGGTTTCTTTCTTTTTTTAATTTGTAAATTGTATTTTTTTTGTTTTTTGCAATTTAGTTTTATTGTTGTATAAATCTTTCTTTGTTTTGTGATTTTCAGTTTGTTTTGATTCGTGATTTTTGTGCTGTTTTGATTTGATTGTGTTAATTTGCTTTAACATTTTGATTCTTCAAATTGTATTTTGCTTTCGATTAATTTTTCCCTTTCATATACTCATGGTTTGATTTTTTTTCTTACAAGTTCTATTGTTCAACCTCTGTTTCATTGTTATTTTCCAGGTTTAATTTTCTTTTTATCTATTCTTACATAGTTTTTGTTTATATAAGCTATTATTTTCAAGTTTTTTTATTTACTTTTACTCTGAGGTATTTTAAGGGTTTTTGTATTTTTGGGAGGCCATGTCATTTCCGTCTTTTCCTAATGCCATGGATCCAGAATTTTTGCTCTTCATTATTTATTAAAGAAATCATAAATTTACCTTTTAAAAAAAAGTCATAAATCTAAAATTAGGTAAATTTGGAATTGTTTTAGATATATAAATAAAAAAATTACCATGATATCAGAAAAAATTTTATCCGTTGAGCCAAAAATAAATGAATAAATAAATTTCATCCCTCATTTGTAGGTCCTTTCATGCCTTTTTCATCCCTGAACTATATTGGAAAATTCAAATCAATCCTAATTCTTTTATTACTTTCAATTAAATTTTTATATTTTTATAACTAATTGTTGCTAATTAAAATGTCACTTTTTTTTCTATATTAAGTGATGATGATATAATATGATGATATGTCATAATGGATGATAGCGTGGTATGCTAATGTGGTATAATGACATTTTCACCTTCAACGTCAACATCACATGGGTATAAAATAATTAATAATATTTTAACTAATGTTAATTAATTAAATGTTAGTCATAAAAGTCTATTTGATTCAAAATAAAAATACAAAGACTTGATTAAATACAACCAAAAAATAAAAATTTATTTGAATTTTTTTAAAATACTTCAAGAGTTTTTTCAAATATTATCCCTAGATTCGTTATACTGCACATGATAAGTCAATTTACTTTATATGTAAGTGCTATAATGTGATAAATGACATCTTTATTATTGTTAATTAATTTTAACTTGAATTTCATTTTAAATTTTAATAATAATGTTGCAAAAAAAAATGCACTATTGTGCTTGTGCTAAAAATCAGCACAAAATCCAACACTAATTACATCTGCATCATTGGAAAACTTTCCACATAAACAAATCATGTACTCTATAAAGCTGTAAGTTTCTCTACACCAAAAGATTAGACAAAAAATAAAGATATGTGAAAAGTTTTTCAACTGTACAAAGGTAATTTGTATTGATTTTTAGCACATGTGAACTATGATTTTAAATTGTTGTTTGTACTTGATCTTGTGTTGATTTTTAGCACATGTGAGCTATGATATTGGGCTGTTGTTTGTACATGATTTTGTGCTGATTTAATTGTAGTGCTGCTTTTCTTCGCTTTAAATGAGTGATATGCTTCTACAAATACATAGTACATAGAGGCGAAGGGGAGGGGGCCCTAGTGGTTGCCCCCACTCCTCCAACAATTTTTAAATTTTTATAATTTATCTATAATTTTAAAAAAGTTTATAGTTTCGCCTCTCCAATAATTTTTAAATTTTTATAATTTCCCTTTGCTTTTTTGAAATTTTATAATTTCGTCCTTATAAAAAGTTTAAAATTTTTCTAACATAGTTTTTTTTAAAAAAATTTTTTTATAATTTTACCCCTACAATTAATTTTTTTAGTAAAATATCCCACAATAATTAGTCAACAACTAATTTTCATAGGATTAAAACAAAATCAATTGCATTTTTCACAAAAAAAATTATAAAATCAATTGCAATAGAATTATTTTCAAACCTCACTTCTCCAAAACCTCACAACTATTACGTGCTCTCTTTTTCATTCTACCAAATATTGTAAAAACAAAAAAAATCTTTTTTTTTCACTGTTTTGCTTGTCTGCATTCTCTATGTAGAAAACTTTTAGTCAGTAATTCAATTTTCATATCATGATAATTAATAAGTTTGATTTATTTATCTATTTTATTTTTAACTTTTTAATTTTAAATTTTATTATTTAATTAATAATTTCTACTTGATAATTTTGATTTAAGATTAACTGTCTTAGTCATTTTTTGTTGAAAGCAATTTGATTAGGCACCAAAAATTAGTTATTACTTATTTATTTAAGAATTACTTAATTGTATTCCTACAAATTAGTTGTGCTGTTTTCTTTGCTTATATTCTTGTGAACAATTAACTTTTTGATTTGAGGATTGCTTTCACGTTGAATTGTTAATTAATATTGTATTTAATTTTTATGATTAATTTTAGATAATTGCTTCTTTATTGAATTATTTATTAATAATCCTGAATATTTTTTAAGGGATTACTTCTCATTGAGACTTTTGTTATTATATTGGTTAATTTTTGTTTGTTGTTAAGTTTATCTAGAAATTGAGATTATTGTTATTATTAAATTATTTATGATTATATATACTAGTTAATTCTTTTAAGTAAATTATTAAAATTGATTCATTTGAATAATTTTTAGGATTTATTTGTATAATTTGAACTTTTTTATCTATGTTGTTTTATATTATTGTCAAACATTGAATTTTTATATAATTGTTTAATTTATAAATATTGTTTTCGATTTTTCACCCCCCCAACATAAAATCTTGACTTCACCTCTTATTATTCATAATCAGAATTTGTGACATTCTTATTTTCTCTGTGTCAAGATTCTGAAAGATTGTTTAGACTTTTCAAAAACCAAATCAAGTAGAGTGTAACGTTATTATTGATATAGTGTTAATTTCAAATAATTTTCAAAAAAAAAAAGCTTAATCATTTTTCTCAGGTCAACTATGTATGCCATGGATGAATTCAATAAAAAATCATGTCACGTGAAATTTGCTTAAGTCAAAGAGAGAAATCAGTTAAAGCCACAATCGATTAAACATCATCTCAATTTTTTTTCTCAATTTGAGATTCGAAAAATTGGAAACAGAATTAATAGACATCTCTCATTATTCTAAATTTAT